TTAAAAAATGTAAAAACAAAATGCAAAAATATATCTGTCACTGCTCTTGCACGCCGCGCCACTTTCTCAAAGCGCTCGTGGAGTTTGCGCTCCAGTCTGCCGTTGCTAAGCAATCATGAGCTGCGTTCTCCATGAAGACGAAGAAGTTTAAGCTAAGGATAAATGGATTTCCAGCCCTTGCATTAACTCTACTACTTGATATAGTTATGGAGATGAGAAATAATAATAAATTAAAAACCTGTACAGCAAAGATCAGCTGTTCGTCCATCTTGCTGAGCTTTCGATCTCTATTTGAGTGCGCTTGTCGCGCGTCTACATTTAAAATAACGAACTTGAGCGTGCAAAAGACGCGACGTGAAGTGCCGACGCGTTTCATACCTGCTCGTTCGGTGTGCGCGAGAACGGTTTACTCCCACGCGCTACAGAGACCCGCAGAGACGCGGCGGATATTTCACAGACAAAGACCAGGTATGTGTGTGTGCGTGTGCGTGTGTGTGTGTGCACGTGCGTTTGTGTAATCGTGATTCACATTGCATTTATAAGAGCAGTTAGCCACATCCAGAAAAAATGAATGGATATATATGGGCCTCTGCTGGATGTATATGGTAATTACACTTTTTTTTCTAAAGCTGTATTTACTACAGATTTTCTGTAACCAGCAGATGGCAGAATTCTTCCACTAACACCTAGATCAATCTCCAGAAACAACTTAAATATTTAATTTTGATCATCATTTGTGTTTTTTTTTATATATATAAAAATGTAATATTTCAAATGCATGCTAATGGTGTAGTTGAGGAATTTTGTGGTAAATGGATAAAAAAACCTAAACACAGCATAATCTGTATTAAAATTAATTTCAATAAATACAAATATTTTTTAGAAGTCACACATTATTTGTTGTTTGTCACATGTAGCAGACCATTTTTGTGGCATGGGTAATAGGAGGATTTCCACCCAGCTACCACCGTAAGTATATTTCAAACCTGTGGGAAGCACAATAGGCTATATATATTTTAAAGGAAAAAAGTGTCTTTCCACAAACATCATGAATGATTCATTCAAAAAGTATTTGATTCTTTTAGGAGTTGCACCACATGACATTTTACAATCTTATCCTGTCATAAAAAGGCCAAAAGTATCTGATATTTTCGATGAGGCTTTTTTTATTGACATGCTGATTTCTTCATTTTGATTTTGACAGTTGCATCACCCTGATTTTTTGTTTTAAATAATTTATATAATTAAAAAACAATTCTTTATAAATAAATAGCATTTTACTGCATATTTTGTAGGGGGGAAAATGAGCCTCACAACCCTTATAAAGGATTGAGCATGCAGGATGACCATGAATTTTCCTGTAAGTGTGAGCCTGTGTGTGGTTGTCTGATTGATTATGAATAAGTGTCTGCTGTCCTATGGATATTAGATATTCTCTGTTACTGTACATATAGATTATGGTTTATAAAAAGTCAGAAGTCAGCTCTTCTAATGCTGCATGGCACCATCCAAGCAGCAGATTTATCCACTACATTATCCTCAACTTCAAAAATGATCCTGGGATCCCTGTCACTCTAAATGCCCATTTACGGTTTAACCATTGCATATTTAGACCACCAGAGGGGTTGTTAATATGACTGCTGGCATGATACCTTAATTACAATATAATCCAGCCAGAGCAATTGCTCTTTGGCCTCTGAGATTGTAGCAATGCTTTCTGAAAATTTGGTGGTGCCGTGACAAAATTAGGCCTGTGTTTGCTTAATCTGCTCCCTTCAAAATTCACAATCTAATGGTCACTGATCCAACATGTTTGATGAACGATAATCCTGAGTTTGGCTAAACAAAGCCAGACGTGTACTCTAGGCCATTTGAACAACAAAAGCATGATACTGTGACACTAGCTGGAGGCATGTAAAGGCAGGATAGTGTATATGAACAAGTGTTAGTGAAAGGCATGTTTACAATGGATTTAGAAAGAGGGAAACAGAGATAACAGAGAGAGAGAGAGAGAGAGCAAGAGAGAGACAGAGAAATGAGAGCAGCCTGCTCTCATACAGTCTGTATAGGCTGCACAGCACATCCAGAGGAATCTGGGGCATCTAATGGCCCCTCACCCACTATTCCTGCACTCTCTTTCTGGTTTTTATAATTGTTTTTTGTTTTTGTTTTTTTGTTTTTTTTGCTGTGTGACATGCTGTGACCCCACACCGTGGGAATCTGTGGTCCACAACGGATGACTTTAACTGTCTCACAAGAAAAAGGTTGATTAAAAAAAAAAAAAGGAGCAGAGCAAAAATTAAAAAAAAAGCAACTCTTAACATGATAATAATAATGATAAATTGTAAAATATTTTAATATTATCCATTTTTTCCTAATCATTATCATGTCAAAATGAATAGAAAATAGTAATCATAATCATCATAAATTATATAGAAAATACATTCAAAAGATAAGTTACTGGAAAGCCAAGAGAAGAGTTAATTCCCATCAAATAATACATTTTTGTTGCTTGCATTTAGTCTTTACGCAAAACTCGTCACAACAATAAAACACGCTATCAATGACAAGCAATCATTTTGCTCTACTCCACAGTTGTATGAAAACATACTATATATAAATTTATATGTCTATATAAATGTATGGCATTTTTCCCGGTGATTAGAATGATACATTTAATAACAGAAATGTAAACACTTAATAGAAATGTAAAAGCCTTAAAAAGCTGTTTTAATGATGAGCTTATACATTTGACTGCAAATGACACTTATTTAGTTTAATCTTTTACTTAAATCCATCAAAATTTAAATACTGAAAAAATACTGAGTCACTCAAAATATCAATTGAAAATATGATCAAATTTGAAATTATTGCAGGAACGTCTGTAACTTCTTTTCACAACTGAATGTCAGCTAGGCCACAGTGTCGCTTTTCTCATTCTTTGGAGCAACACAAAGGCAATTGTTTGGCTATTTCAAAATAACAAGACATAATATAAAATATTAAAAGGCCTTTAAATGTTTGAAGGCTTAAACGTGTCAGGCCACTAAAACAACGTTTTTCCTGTTTCATGTGCTCGTACAAGCCATCCTAGATGTGCATGACTACACTGGGCATGGAACAGATAGGTTTGATGGGGAAAAATATATGGTGTAGTTACCTTCTGTGGTTTCCTCTGCTGGTCCAATGAGATTGCCGTAGAGTTTTTTGACTTCCTTCTTTAGCACTCCTGATGATGTTTGGGGCCATTTCATTTAGAGATGTTTCCATGTTCTGCGCCAAGTCTGGTCCAAACCTCATTGTCATTTCATGCAGCATCTTAAATAAAAAAACATTTGTTTACTTCAGGTGCATATATCAAAATTAACACTTTCAGCCAAACAAGTTTCTTAAAGTCAGCATGAACTGGAGGTTGCAATTGACTACCATATTGATGCATTTCCGAGACAAAATGTTCAATAAGAAAAATATTGGGCATGGTAAAGTAAGCCAGCATGTCTCTGATGAAATCTTCAGTGTTTCCCAGACAAATATAGCCTACTGAAATGTAAAACGAAGGGGCTTCTCTTATCTATTTTCTCTTGTTTTAAAAGTTTCTGTTGTTTTAAAATAGCCAAATATTAATGAACCATTGAGTAATTAATAAATGCATCCGAGGTCCATAGGTAAGATTTGATTATCTTTTGGCCTTTTATGTTATTTATGCCTCTTTTAATAGGAAACATTGCCCACATAAAGACGTAAACTATTGCAACTTATAAATAGTATTTTGTTATTGTTTGATTTGCATTATAATTATAATTATTTTCTGTTTTACAGATATTTGTTTCGAATGTAACTTGTTGTTAGTGTTGTGCAGGTTAAATTGTGTCCGAGGTAATGGTGCAAATCTCTTGATGGTGTAAAGAAGAATCAGTCTCCGTGACATATGACTGCAGTGCATGAAAATGAGCAGCTTTCTGTACACAGACGGTAGTTCTATAATCGGAGCTACGGGCAAGCTCATACATCATGCAAAAAGGGCCCGAAGGATTTTCTTCAAATCAAATGTGTGGGTCTGTGAAAATAATATCAGGGGCTTTCCGTCAGAATGAACTTTTCCACTGTAGCCAGCCGTGAAATAATCTGACCCAACACCTCAAACCATCTGCGCTATCCATCCGTCTTATTATTTATTGCGAGCTGTAGCTGATATTATACCACATTTTTTTATGATATGGCATCTCCACAAACCGCACGGATGACACGTTTGTTCATTGATACCCCTCGCAAATCCTGATTAATTCCCAAATGAACTCAAAATATTTCATTGATGCAAAGGGCTGTGATATAAGAACACTGTAGTTGAATCAAAATAGGCCTATATATAAATAAAAAAGCAATTAAAATACCTAGGACGAAAATATTTGCTTAAAATATTTGTTTTTGCTGATTATATTTGAAATGGTCAATTATAACTGCTTATGTAAGCTGTTAATAGTCTTTAGCCGGTAACCAAAGATCAGCAGACTCGTCCACGTGCAGCTGGAAGGCGGAATGGTTTGTCCAGTTAAGACTCGTTTCATTCTAAACAGCGCGATATTAAATTTGACATGCCAATGACTGTTGCGCTTTGTTTCCTTTTTTGTGTCAGCGGCCGTTATTCTTCACAAGCGAGACTCCGGGGCTGACGACTGACTTCTTTTCTGAAAATCCACAAAACAAACGGATGATCTTATTTAATGTCATTTGCCATTTCAATCCAAACCATTCGCGCGTCGCAATACGCTTCGGAAACGTCTGTGCTCGCCTATTCGGAACGATAAAAAGCCAATCATGTCCTCTCCAGTGTTAAGACTATATAAAAATGCCGACGAGTGACAGCTTAAATAACATTTCGTGCTAGATGAGACAGCACTGTACTTTCCATTAGGTTTTAAAATTCTGAGAACATAGTTTATGTCGCATAAACTTAACTTAAAATGTGCGTAAAATACGCAATCGAGTATAATTAACTCGCGGGGATTCGGTAAAAGCAGAGGTCGCTGAAGTTTACATTCTAAAAGGCGCTGTCGAGGTCTGGGAGGTGCTGAAATCTACTCAAGCTCAGTTCCGCGTGATTGGCACGCTTGACAGTGATTGACAGGCGTCGGTGGAAACTACGCAACCAATCTGCCAAGTCCAATAGAAAATCAGAAGCGGGCAGCACGTCTTTTCCCTCCTCAAAAACATCTTCATTCTTGTACTATAATTTCGTGCCCTCGAACTCCCGAGGCAGCCTCAGACCGTCAGAGCGACATCTCTATTTCTCTGCATCGTCTAACGTTCATCATCTGATTCTGGAACTGCCTTTTTGTCTGGATTCGACTGGGGGAGACAGAGAAAAGCCACATTAAGCACGAAGCTGTGCTTGAGGTAGAGAGGACTCCGAGGGGGAACAGAAGCCTTCATGTTTCAGTTGCCAATCTTGAATTTTAGTCCCCAGCAGGTAGCGGGGGTATGCGAGACTTTGGAAGAGAGTGGAGACATCGAGCGTCTTGGCCGATTCCTTTGGTCGCTGCCCGTCGCACCCGCTGCCTGCGAGGTGCTGAACAGAAATGAGTCTGTGCTGCGGGCTCGGGCTATCGTAGCCTTCCACACTGGGAATTTCCGTGAGCTTTACCACATTCTGGAGAACCACAAGTTCTCCAAAGAGTCCCATTCCAAACTGCAAGCACTTTGGCTGGAGTCACACTACCAGGAGGCAGAGAAGCTACGAGGCCGCCCACTAGGGCCAGTGGACAAATACCGGGTACGGAAGAAGTTCCCTCTGCCTAAAACAATTTGGGATGGGGAACAAAAGGCGCACTGTTTTAAAGAAAGGACCCGGCATTTACTTCGAGAATGGTACCTCCAGGATCCTTATCCGAATCCAAGTAAAAAGAGAGAGCTTGCACAAGCTACGGGACTCACTCCCACTCAAGTGGGCAATTGGTTTAAAAATAGAAGACAAAGGGACAGAGCCGCGGCCGCTAAAAACAGGTGTGTTTTCCCCATTTCAATCATGGGGCCTATATTGAGAAAATATTTCATATTTTAGCTGTAAAATGGATATAAACTAACATATCGATAAAATATAAATGAAATATACAAATTTAATAAAGGAAAGGATATAGGCTAAAGCATAACATTGCCTACTGTCACTGTTAATTGTCCAAGTCAGGTTAACAATAAACCAACAGTATACTAAAAAAAAAAGATCGATTAATCAACAGATGTTATTATTTGTAACTTTAGCTATTAACTGTGTCTTTTTCTGATTAAAGCCGACATTTGCTGGACTTATTTTTTGTTTATTTTATTATTATTATAATTATTTTTTTTTTTTACATTTTTACTAATGTAATTTTACTAAATAACAGCGCAAAAAGGGCTGTCACATGTACAAAATGCTGTTACTAGTCACTTACGACCAAAAATCATTGGCTATAGCTTTTGTGTGTGTATTATGGTTTGGGCCTACACTCTTAAAAATAAAGGTGCTTCAAAAGGTTCTTCAAGCGATGCCATAGAAGAACCATTTTTGGTTCCACAAAAAGCAATTAAAATACCTAGGACGAAAATATTTGCTTAAAATATTTGTTTTTGCTGATTATATTTGAAATGGTCAATTATAACTGCTTATGTAAGCTGTTAATAGTCTTTAGCCGGTAACCAAAGATCAGCAGACTCGTCCACGTGCAGCTGGAAGGCGGAATGGTTTGTCCAGTTAAGACTCGTTTCATTCTAAACAGCGCGATATTAAATTTGACATGCCAATGACTGTTGCGCTTTGTTTCCTTTTTTGTGTCAGCGGCCGTTATTCTTCACAAGCGAGACTCCGGGGCTGACGACTGACTTCTTTTCTGAAAATCCACAAAACAAACGGATGATCTTATTTAATGTCATTTGCCATTTCAATCCAAACCATTCGCGCGTCGCAATACGCTTCGGAAACGTCTGTGCTCGCCTATTCGGAACGATAAAAAGCCAATCATGTCCTCTCCAGTGTTAAGACTATATAAAAATGCCGACGAGTGACAGCTTAAATAACATTTCGTGCTAGATGAGACAGCACTGTACTTTCCATTAGGTTTTAAAATTCTGAGAACATAGTTTATGTCGCATAAACTTAACTTAAAATGTGCGTAAAATACGCAATCGAGTATAATTAACTCGCGGGGATTCGGTAAAAGCAGAGGTCGCTGAAGTTTACATTCTAAAAGGCGCTGTCGAGGTCTGGGAGGTGCTGAAATCTACTCAAGCTCAGTTCCGCGTGATTGGCACGCTTGACAGTGATTGACAGGCGTCGGTGGAAACTACGCAACCAATCTGCCAAGTCCAATAGAAAATCAGAAGCGGGCAGCACGTCTTTTCCCTCCTCAAAAACATCTTCATTCTTGTACTATAATTTCGTGCCCTCGAACTCCCGAGGCAGCCTCAGACCGTCAGAGCGACATCTCTATTTCTCTGCATCGTCTAACGTTCATCATCTGATTCTGGAACTGCCTTTTTGTCTGGATTCGACTGGGGGAGACAGAGAAAAGCCACATTAAGCACGAAGCTGTGCTTGAGGTAGAGAGGACTCCGAGGGGGAACAGAAGCCTTCATGTTTCAGTTGCCAATCTTGAATTTTAGTCCCCAGCAGGTAGCGGGGGTATGCGAGACTTTGGAAGAGAGTGGAGACATCGAGCGTCTTGGCCGATTCCTTTGGTCGCTGCCCGTCGCACCCGCTGCCTGCGAGGTGCTGAACAGAAATGAGTCTGTGCTGCGGGCTCGGGCTATCGTAGCCTTCCACACTGGGAATTTCCGTGAGCTTTACCACATTCTGGAGAACCACAAGTTCTCCAAAGAGTCCCATTCCAAACTGCAAGCACTTTGGCTGGAGTCACACTACCAGGAGGCAGAGAAGCTACGAGGCCGCCCACTAGGGCCAGTGGACAAATACCGGGTACGGAAGAAGTTCCCTCTGCCTAAAACAATTTGGGATGGGGAACAAAAGGCGCACTGTTTTAAAGAAAGGACCCGGCATTTACTTCGAGAATGGTACCTCCAGGATCCTTATCCGAATCCAAGTAAAAAGAGAGAGCTTGCACAAGCTACGGGACTCACTCCCACTCAAGTGGGCAATTGGTTTAAAAATAGAAGACAAAGGGACAGAGCCGCGGCCGCTAAAAACAGGTGTGTTTTCCCCATTTCAATCATGGGGCCTATATTGAGAAAATATTTCATATTTTAGCTGTAAAATGGATATAAACTAACATATCGATAAAATATAAATGAAATATACAAATTTAATAAAGGAAAGGATATAGGCTAAAGCATAACATTGCCTACTGTCACTGTTAATTGTCCAAGTCAGGTTAACAATAAACCAACAGTATACTAAAAAAAAAAGATCGATTAATCAACAGATGTTATTATTTGTAACTTTAGCTATTAACTGTGTCTTTTTCTGATTAAAGCCGACATTTGCTGGACTTATTTTTTGTTTATTTTATTATTATTATAATTATTTTTTTTTTTTACATTTTTACTAATGTAATTTTACTAAATAACAGCGCAAAAAGGGCTGTCACATGTACAAAATGCTGTTACTAGTCACTTACGACCAAAAATCATTGGCTATAGCTTTTGTGTGTGTATTATGGTTTGGGCCTACACTCTTAAAAATAAAGGTGCTTCAAAAGGTTCTTCAAGCGATGCCATAGAAGAACCATTTTTGGTTCCACAAAGAACCATTCAGTCAAAGGTTCTTTAAAGAACCATCTCTTTCTTACCTTTTTGTAATCTGAAGAACCTTCTTTCGCCACAAAGAACCTTTTGTGAAACAGAAAGGTTCTTCAGATGTTAAAGGTTCTTTATGGAACCATTTAGACAAAAAGGTTCTTCTATGGCATCGTGAAGCACCTTTATTTTTAAGAGTGTAGTCTACATCACTGGATAAAAGTCCTTTTCGATATGCGAAATAACAATTAACGAGAGACTAAAAAATGCAGCATAGATTAAACGATGCTTACTTTCATTTTAGCCCGATAGCTAGTCTTTATTGATTTCGACAGTTTAGCTGTGAATTGAAGAGATTCTACCGTGATGTCAATAGGCTTTTTATTTTGTCGTGCAAGGTGTTCGCTGCAGTGATGCGAACAAGGAACGTTTCTCACAAAAAAATAATTTAACTCTGTCAAATTGTGTTCTATATTTTGTCTTAAGTTTAAATTTAAGAGCTGATATTAACACCGTTAAAATTGGGCTATACTAAATCAAAACTGTTAAAAATGTATAGCCTGATTTTAAAATCAGCCTATTTTTGGTTAAAACGTGTTTAGACCAATAAACTAAGAATAAATGTTTTTACATTGCCATTCATTTTGTTAAACAAACAAACAAACAACAAAAACAGATTTCTAGACAACAGATGCGCGCATTGGCTGTAGCATCCCATTTCGTGTTCTTCCGGGGCATTCCGTTAGTAGGCTAAACCTGAGCCTGGAATAAGCGGAGCGTCATTTCATGATACGTTTATAGATTTCCTCCATTGCGTTTACAGTATTTTTATTTCTAAAGTAGTTAACCTTAAGTTACGTGTTTATACATTAATTGCACGCTTTTATTAGCCTAAATAAAAATGCAGAAAAAATCGACACTTAAACCACTGATTTTGTTTAAAAGAGTTTTAATAGAAAATCCTTCATCTAGCGTAAACACCATCCTTTTTATTTTTAAAGGTTACAACAGCAGGTGTTGTCTAATGGCTCGGTTCGGTCCTTAACTGGAGAGGATGGTGCTGTAGACCGACTGGGGAACGCGTCGAGCCCTGAAGCGAGCCTGTCGAGCAAAGCCGCTGCGTCGGCAATCTCCATCACTTCAAGTGACAGCGAATGTGACATCTAACATCGCACCACGAACCGGCCCGCGGGCTATACGGGAAGACTGAGAAAATTAACACATATGAAGGAAATCGAGACAGACAATCAGCAAGATAAACAAGCACATTAGTGCCTGCCTTAACGTATCAGAGTCCGTGTTTTTATTTTATTTCATTTTATTACTTTTTTTCTTTTTTTGGAGGCTGTTACACCAGCCCGGAATCTTTGGATCCGTGGAATGCTTTATCTTTAAAATGTATTTATCTTTTTGTGAGAGCAAAGTGGGGGCAAACGCGAAAAAAAATACTATGTATTAAAACTACTTTTGTAATCGATTGCCTCAAGCAAGGTGCCCCTACGGAAATGATATTAACACTTTTTGTTTATTTTGAAAAGGACTTCATGGTGAAACATTTTACCTCCCAGGTTTTCTAAGGTGTTTACGCATTAAATTGTTGCTCTTATAGAATCTCATTTTTATTTACTTGGTCATTTCAAGTCTGGTCATTTTCGGTATTAATCGATCGCGTTTTAGAGCATGTGCGCCGATAGTGAAGATTTTAGTGAATGAAGGACTTATTCTAATAAAACTTTGATGCTCAAAGTAACCATACAGACTTATTCTCATCAATTACCAATATTAAACCAAATTCATGTTTATTTCCGATAACCATTTTGTTGATAAGCTACAAATGATGATTATTATTATTATTATTATTATTTAGTTATTAGGCCTATAAGTTGTTTGTTGGATTTTTTAGGCTATCTCATATTTTAGACTGCCCGGACATCGTATTTTGTTAGCCTTAATAGCATAGGCTATGTGAATGCATTGTGTCTGCATTCACCCTTCATTTAGGCAGACAAACCACTTGAACTTTTGCCTCTATACGTACTATTCCTGGTATAAATGGTGCACGCACAGCCAGTATTCGGTAAGTGTAGGCTATAGTGGTGCGTGTCCAGACGCGTTAACCGCCCCGTGTGATTGGCTTTGCCGTCCTGTAATGTTTTCTGACAGGAGAAGGTCAACGAGAGGGCGAAGCGCCTCGGTTTCAAAACGAGCAAGCTAGAGAGGAAAAGCATCCAAAACTTGTAAAATGCACAACCGAATGCTATAATTTATTTACTGATTTACTTATTTGCTTGTGCTTTAATTGCTTACAGAAAAACTGCGAAATTGTGAACGTTTACAGTGTTTTACTAGACTATTTTTTTTCATTTTCAAGGTCTAGGCTTATCAAAACCTCAAACTCCTATGATTAATTACAGCCGCTCTCCTATCTCAAATTATGTAGTTTTGTCCACTTTTTATTTTGATTATTATTATGATGAATAACTCGGCTACTAATCTTGTGCCTTTGCCATTGTTTATTGCTTTAATTTTTATGTTTCGTTTTGTATCACTTTTGTTATGGGAAGGAAGGACAAACTGTATATTTTAAGTCTGTTAATAATGCTTGGCTAACAAATTGTTATTGAGGGAAAAAAGAGGCATAGATGTGGTAGGGGAAAGGAGAGCACGCTATTGAGTGTGCAGAGGGACAAAAGCGGAAAGATTAGGTGAAAAGAGTGTTTCTGACAGTCAAATAAGGTTGTCAAACTCTACAGCGCTAATCAGTGGTAATGATCGGTTCTCAAACCCAACTGGAACAATAGTGAGCTCTTCAAAGCTCTGGTGGGGTTAAGCGGGTGCTTTCTCCCCTATGTGCTCCAAGAATGCTTTTTCAGTGCATATTTATTACAATATCGAAAAATATAGGCTGTAAATAATGTGTGTGTGAATAGTATGAGGAATATGAATTCCTCATTAGCTGCCACAAAGACACCACCGACAAAAGTTGTACATTTTTAAAAATAAATATGGCTAATTATTATTATTTTTTTTTTTACAAAAAATATTCGCTTCTAGCTGGCTCCAATTAAATTTTCATTTTCTAAATATCAATATTAAAGTTGAGCAGGGACTTGCATTCACTAAAACTAAATAAGGTCTTTATTCAGAAGTTCTGGGTGTTTAACAATTTCCATGGGTTTTTGTGAACATAACACAATGCAAATTTGTCGTGCTCAAGGCCAGAAAACATGCAATTGATTGCCTATACTAAAATTATGTGTGGAACAGCAAAAGTATATTTTCCATGTGTTCTTATCCCGTCTTAATACATTAACAGAACGATTATCATTGCACGTCCCCAAAAAATGGACTACCAATTGTAACTACTAAAATGGCTTAATGAGGCTGGGTGGTGTGATGCATTAAAGCAAGCATCCCTAGCGTCCCATGGCCCGAGTAAGATAAGTAAAACTGGTGTATACGATTGTTGAAGATCCTTCTGTTGACTAAAAGACATAAGACGTAGGCCTATTTCACATTGATCTCCAGCTGCGGATTAGGCTATACATGCAAAAACACACTTATAAACTGATGGACCGATAGATGGTACAGTGGGTTATAATAAATAATTATAATAAATATAATAAAGGGGGTTATAATAAATACATAAAAATTGCTTTATTTTGTTTCACTGAACTGATTCAGATAATAATAATTTGTGGTGTGTTTGTTACCGTACTTTTATGTCCTGTTTCCCACATTGTAGCTTAGCCTATAAGGAGAAGACTAAATTGTTCGTGAGATGTTGGAGGACTGAATGTACAGTCCAGCAATTTCTTTATTGTAATACTCGATTTTACATTAATTTAACGCACAACAGACGATGTTATGATGATTTTTACAGTTGCTCGGATGTTTTTGTGGAAAAATAATTACACCCGCTCTTTGCAATTATTTATCAGAATATGCCCTACGTTTGCCATTTGGCGTTGAAAATGTACCACTGTGCTGCGAATTTGCACAGAATTAATTAATTTTAACATTCTCTTTATTGCTTTTTTGAAGAGTGGAATAGCACAATCGAAATTAAATGTATTAAACAATACAACATTGCAATAACACATATCTTTCCGATTTGCATTACAGAGTTTACAATATCAAGGTAAACTCTGTAATTCAAAAAATATATATATTTATTTATTTTTGAAAAGGAGAAGGTCCTTTGTGAGGGAATGTAGGCCCGTTATGTTATCTCTCAAACACGGAGACAATAAATACATTATGTTTAGCTTTGTTAGAGCTTAGCGCCCTCTGCTGTTAAAACTCGTTTTTAATCTGCCCACACCATGGCCCGGATTCCTTAAGAACCTATTGAAAAGAAATTCTGGGTTCAAAAGCAGCTATCAGTTAGAGCCGAACCACTATGAACACGTTTTAGTTTTTGCTGATTTGGTTAGCCTTAAGCACAAACAACAACAGAATAAACAACAACAAAAATAATAATATAAATAAATACATAAGTGATCGAGTGATATACAAGTAATATTAATTTATTATTGTAAAACGGTTGCAGGGTTTCATTTCTTGTGAAATTAACATTATTTAGAATATATCATCCATTCCAAGGTTAGTCGTGGCCTGTAGGCCTAACTTAAGGCAACGTGACCTGCACAGACGTTTAAATGCGATATTCAAGAATAATATAGTAGGCTATACAATGGCTTTGCAATAATAGTACATTAAATCATATCTTGCAGGAATCCACACTAGTCACAGCCGCCGTAGCTGAACATTACGTCAGTCAAGCTTCACACGAGATTCACACGAGATTGAACTGAAAAATGTTCATCATGGATGTGTGTATTATTAGGCCTATGTATGACGGACACGCACAGTTACATCGCTGTAACGAGGAAGCAGTTAGTAAAAAAAACTTAATGCATCCACGCCAATAGTTGTCAGTATAAAGTCCAAGTCCATTGATGCCTTTGGGACCAACCAAACAAGAACCAATTAAACGTAAGCAAAAACTTAAACTTTGCACCTGTCGAATCAGAGATTGGATTTTCATCAAAATAGTGAAACACTTTAAAGTCTCATCGTTTTGTCAGTGACTGTGTGGTTTAAATAATATGTTCTGGAGTGACCACACATTGTTATATCCATGTGCTTCCCAGTATTCGGATAACTGGATGGATTAGCCTACTGGATTTTTGAATAAATGTAAAATTTTAGGGTAGTGATTAATTTTAGTGTTGTCATTAGTAATTGGCAGCAGATTTACCACTGCAGATGGCCGCCCAAAACTGTCACTGGTCAACGCGAATGCGTGGATTTCAACAAGGTCGCATCATGCATTGGTAAGTTGAGAAAGCGAGGTAGGCTATGTGATTTATACTCTTTATATTCTATATTTTAATTGGTCGTTTTATTTAAATGCACATTCGTTGTGTGTGTGTGTGTGTGTGTGTGTGTCTATATATATATATATATAATGAAAATGTTCAAATTGGGCCCAAAGTGTCAATATTTTGTGCGCCCACCATCATTTTCCAGCACTGCCTTAACCCTCATGGGCATGGAGTTCACCAGATCTTCACAGGTTGCCACTGGAGTCCTCTTCCACTCCTCCATGACGACATCACAGAGCTGGTGGATGTTAGAGACCTTGCGCTCCTCCACCTTCTGTTTGAGGATGCCCATGCTTGACCAATCCATCACCTTTACCCTCAGCTTCTTTAGCAAGGCAGTGGTCATCCTGGAGGTGTGTTTGGGTCGTTATCATGTTGGAATACTGCCCTGCGGCCCAGTCTCCGAAGGGAGGGGATCATGCTCTGCTTCAGTATGTCACAGTACATGTTGGCATTCATGGTTCCCTCAATGAACTGTAGCTCCCCAGTGCCGGCAGCACTCATGCAGCCCCAGACCATGACACTCCCACCACCATGCTTGACTGTAGGCAAGACACACTTGTCTTTGTACTCCTTTTTATTCATCAAAGAATCATGAAAAAAGTATCACAGTTTCCAAAAAAATATTTGGCAGCACAACTGTTGCCAACATTGATGATTCTAAATAATAAATCAGCATATTAGAATGATTTCTGAAGGATCATGTGACACTTTAGACTGGAGTAATGGCTGATGGAAATTCAGCTTTGCATCACAGAAATAAAATATATTTTAAAGGATATTAAAATAGAAACCATTATTTTATATTG